CGCAAAAATTTCCAGAATTACGTGGTATTTTCCAAAGAAAATACAGAACAGTATACAACACACATATATGCAATTAATTTTGTTTGCATTTGACTAAACCACTTTGTAATTGTCTTTAAAACCACTTGTTTATTTTTACCAAACAAATATACTTTTGAGCTTGACTTATATGTCCATACATAATTAAAGGCATTGAAGAAAATTTCTCATTAATGACCGATTAATGAATAATGATACCTCCCTGGGAATGTTAGTTCCACTCTTTGGGGAAAACCTCCTTATTGCCAGTCTTCCGGTAGGAGGTCTAACTAGGGGGATAAGTCTCACTATACGACGCAGGTCGGCAGATGATGCTTACTCCTTCATGGCACCTGATTCCACCTCTTAAACTTTAAGTCCTGTTTCTTTAAAATTTTTTAATTTTTTTTCCGCTTAAATTTTGTTTGTTATCTTTATGTATTTCATCGAAGAGTTTTCAAAATTAATCGTTATTTATAAAAGGTTTAAGTTTGGATAGATTCTCTGATAACCTGGAAGACCTCTTTGAATCATACAATTCAAAACTCTTTAGCCACTATACTTTCAATTCGCTCAGAGTTTCAAAGAAAGACCATATCCCTTGAATTTGTCCCGTTTTGAATTCGCTTATATATGTTACTGGCGAAAGTGGTGAGAATTTGTTTTGTATTTATTTGTTTCAATTCTTGAATATCGTATATGTGTCAGTCATTTGTTGAGGATATACTGTTAGATAATTATGAGGCACTGTTTACTAGTATTTATGATTAAATAGATGAAGTGATCCTTGATTATATTCTTGCTTCAAATATTTTTGATATCACTGAATTTCTGTCGCTTTTCCAAAATGAATCTTATGTATATTAAGGTAAGTCGACAAGTTCATGACATATATGCTTTGTATTCTTTTTACCAAAAATTGTGATATAGGCCATTCAGAAGATTACCCGTAAGGGTTATATAAGAAATATGACCCTGTGATATCTTGTCTAAATGTCTGGTAAGGTATCCTAATTTTTTGTGAGGAAACTTGTTTAAGTTATTTTAATTGATAAGTGACCATTATGACTACCGGTAATAAAGTTACCCCCTCGCTTTTCAGTTAGGGTGTCTTACTTGTGGCGAATTTGGTTGAAATTGTGTAGGAGATCCTTTAGTAAGACTTGTACGCCCTTTGAAAAGTGTGTTCCCCATGTTCTCTTATAAAATATAAAATCCTTCAAAGATTCAGTAAATTAGCCATACAAATATGCCATGTTATTGCTTTTTCTTAAATAAAAAAAGTAAGAATTAATTATATTGTACATATATATATAATTGATATAGATAAAGCGAGAAACTCGCAAAAGTTTAGTAAGGAAATCATTTTTCTCTACATTAAACTTTTAATCACTACAATCCCTTTTAGAAAAATACTGCCAGATATTAATCCATTTTAAAACAGGGTATGAACACAACTTTACTTAAAAAACCTCTCTATTCTCCAGCTCCGACAAAAAGGAAATCAAAATGTTGCTGGTTAATATGCTTTAATTATTTTTATCGTGAATCAAAAATGAGACTTGCAATTGTTTAAGGGATCTTTGATGAATAATCAATTGTGAAATAAAAAAGGAAATATTCGGAATCAAAACATCTATTTGAATAAAATTAATATATATTCATTATGTAGAGGACATCATCACTTTATTTATAATTGATAAATCGAAGATAAGAAAATCAGTGTACGTGGCTAGAGAGGCAGTTAGTAATTTTTATTCTAAGTTTGAGGTCAATAAAATTAATCATAGCTATATAATAACAACCATTCTTTGTTCCGTTTTTGTTTCTCAATTCCTATAACGGTGTAGTAAGTGTGTATTTGTTGTTTATTTTTTAGTTACAAATATGTTCAATATATTGTGAATCAAAGAAGGAATGTATGAATGTAATGTGATTTTTGTTATATATCTACTAAACGTAAATAAAATCATATTTTAATGACACTATTCCAATTTAAAAAAAATCTAACAACCACGCTATACGATGCACATGTTGACTTTTACTTTTAAATCGTCAACTTTCCTTCTTTCTCTTACTTTATGCAGCAATAAACCTTTATCACCTGTAAACAGGGTTTATATCTCAGTTTATATTCGATACTGAGCATCGAGATCATCCCTATTCTTCGGGGAAAAAAATCTAGAAAGAGATAAATTATTGAAAAACACGTTGGTGAAACAAGGATTTTTAAAAAGTCATCATTTTGTAAGTTCTATGGTCGCTAAAATGGCTTTACTAATCAGCAAATACAGCAAATACATACAATTTAGCATTGAGCCAAATGCTGCATGAAGTTTTTCATACTAATTGTAAGTCTTATAGTCAGTGATTTTGTAGGGGTTTTACAATGAAATATATAGAGATAGCGAAGATTGGTTGATTGCCTGTTGTTTTAAGTCCCATTCGATTTTTTTTCTTTTATATATAGAAATGTCACTATAAACCAGTGAAGGCTTCATATGTAAACTCTACTAGGCACCCAGGGCCATTGAGTAGTTAGAGATTTTTATCATGCCAACGTATGACGCGTCAATTCAGTATGTATAATAACTATAATGTCCTAACAATAAGTATGAAAAACTTCAGTCAGCATTTGACTTAATGATAAATTTTATTTGCGGACAAGAGCATTGTATCGACTATATATACCTTACAAAATGATAACTTGCTGATAATTTTCTTTCAGCAACTTGTTTGTCAATAATTTCCTCGTTTTAAAAATTGTTCGAGCGCCCTCGGTTGGTATACTCTATGTATCTGAGGTCAATATCTGTCTTCCTGGGTCATTATAAATGCATATTAACCCACATATTGAGTCCATATTTGTATTATAAGTAACAACATCATACAATTATAATATACTTTTCTCAGTTTCTTTACATCGTCATGTTAAGAGAAAGAAAATTATATAATAATTTATTTATTTGGCTGCTTATTAATTCAGTGCATTGCTGGCAAATTATGGAAATATCACAAAGTATATAATTACAACGAAATAGTCTACGGCTTATATTTATCTAATCTATTGTTATGAAAACACTACTGCTTTGTGTTTTACGTTTCTGTTAATGTGAAAAAAAGGTTTTTAAAAATAATGAACACTATTACCTTTTAATCTCATGAAAACAAAATAAATCAAACAGTCTCTTTTGAAGTATATCACTTTCATTAAAACATAAATATATATTATGATAACTGTACATTTTAATTACAATTAATATGGTTTATAACGTCATACCGTTTTATGGGTTAAACTAAGAGATTATGAAATAACAAAGTGATAAAATTTTCTTTGACTGCGTTATTTTTTTAATACTCATACCAGGGAAAATTAAAAGAGCAAATCCTTTGTTGAGAATTGACGAGGATATATGTACATGCGTAGTATTTTGTCATGTTATACAAACACACATAGTAATCTAGGAGAAAAGTTTTAAAAACCTATATATTGGAAAGAACAAAGGTCATTACTCGTACAAAACCGGTTTTGGGATTTCTTAGATGACACGTAAAAAGAGAGAAATCGTTTCATTAAATACATAATTTAATTCTGATCTGATTCACCGGATGATGAATGAGCGCGTAACGATAAAAAAAGGTTGAACCTGTTTTTTTTTTTTTACAGAAGTATGACCAGAGTGTTGCACAACAGTTTCCATACTTTATTACCGGTATATCTTTTGGCGCGTTTATGTTGTTGTAAGAAACCATCAATTGTAATACTCTTTATTGTTTACTTATATATCCGGAAAAATTCCTTCCTGATTTATGTTTATCGAGAAGAAGACATATAGGACAAACGTGCACAGATTTATGCTGAAGTGTAAAGGATAGGTAAGTTCATTTTTCTCCTCTCCCTTCAAAATTTCATTGATGAACAGATTTATTGTAAAGCAATTTACGTATTGTACTCATATGTACTTTTTAATGCAACCAGCTTAAAATCATTTATCTATTTCGCCTATTTCAATAAACTTTGAAATTAACGAGTGATTTCAAACAGAACGTTTGTATAGCAGACGATCAATACATATTTTAGGATCACAGGTGAACACTTAGAATGTCCGCGGTCTCTTGAGGTTAGAAGTTCAGGTATAGTCAGTTTCTAATACGCGGAAATAATTTAGGTTATGCAAGGTTATTTAAAACTGGGAAACCCCTCATATAGGCAGAAATTCACATAATAAAAGATATTAAATTATTCAGAAAAGCAAATGATATAAATAAATTTATATATTAACTTAAAACTTGGGGAAATTTATTTTAGAATGTTTAAAATAATCATCTTTTTTTTTTTACAGCTCTAGTGTAAAGAAAATGGATCAATTTTTCTCGGTGCTCATTATCACGAGTATAGCAGTTTTTGTCAAAGCGAGTTTAGAGTCAAATATGAATATAACATGTAAGTACAAGAAAGTAATTTATTATATAAATATAGGATTTAATCAGATTGATCAAAGCTATGTTGTATGCAAAATGAGAAAATAACAAACAAATACCATAGATCTAGTAAACTGTAACAAGAGGGTAGAAAATGTATAGCTGCAGCGGGAATAGAATACGGGACTCCTGTATCATTAGTCAGGTACTGAGCTACCTAGGCCAATACTCACGTCCCAAACCAGTACATAAAATATGGAGATAACAAACAATATTCAAGCTCAAAGTCCATTTTTACAATACAAATCTGGAGGTTAGCAGACACAGACCTTCAAATCCACTTGGTCAGAGGATTAGATGTAATGAACGAGTATGCTATGGACCTGTCACACCCGAACAAGAAATCCATAGAAATTTCGGTGTGTATAAAAATAACCTAAGAATAGGTATGGATGACTTGTTGACACAAGTCATATATAGAGATGATGAGGGTATATATTGCTACATAAATAAGGAAAACTGAAGACTGAAAAGTTAAAGTCATCACTATGTTATAAAGTTTAGTTGTAAGGTTACCATGCATTAACTTTTTTTTATTTTATGATATCCAAAAATGAAATAGCTGTATCAGACACTGTGGTGTATTTAATTTTACTGGGTAAAAGACAAGTAGTATTTCGAATCGACATATGGACAGAAGGTACTATTATAAAATGATAATACGTAGTCAATATATCTATATGTAATGCTGTGAGAGAGAAAATCAAACCTGGGTCTTCAGGTCACGAAGCGGACACCCTTCAAATAATGTTATGAAACGATGGTGTAAAGAGTAGACAAATGTAAAATAAAGAGAAAACGAACAGTATTCAAGCCCAAAAGTCCATAAAACAATACAAAATAGGAGTAGAGCAAACGCGGGCCTCAAAAACATCTGAGGTGGGATCAGGTGCCATGGAGGAGTGAGCTTTCCCTGCCGACCGGTCACACCAGTCGTGCGCTCCTTTTTATAATCTATTCGTTTTAATGGTTTAGTGGTTAATAAAGATTTCACGAGGGTTGTCCAAGAAAACGCAAACTTTTTAATATTCCAAATACTCTTCGACCCAAATTAATAATTTATTGCATGCTGTTTGAAAGTAATCTATTTGATATATTTGAAATATTTGAAATTTTGCAAATAGCATTGTCAATGAAGTGTTCACTGTTATCAGGCTATACGGCAATATAATCCCAAACTTTTATAAATACTCTATAATATGGTTTACTCGTGTTTAAAAAATTATTTATTTGACATCTTAAATTAGACATTGTCAAAAATTGCTACGTTGAGCGGTAATGTGGAGCACCAAATTATCACGCAACACTATATTGAGCGGGATATGACTCCTGTACATAGGGAAAAGAGATGATAACGATGAAAATACACAAACATAACTACTTGTATCTTGGAAACATATTTTTTTTTATCTAGTTGATGAGGTTTGAGGTTGACTTGACTGGTCATCCGAAAGAAGAGAATAGACCACTTAAATGTAATGAACGGAAAAGAGGGGACATCATAGACTTGATAAATGATTACCGCTGTTAAACAATCGAACTGTAAGGTTATAATCAAGGTTGTGAAATTGTCTATTAAAAGAATTACCTCCGCAATCTTTTGGTAACACTATAAGTATTTGAGATGTATAACTTGGTAACTAAAACAAAATTAAATACAACGCCGAATGTATGCTTAAATGAACTTTTTAAAGGCACAGTTTCTAGAACTAATTCATAAATTAAACACAACGAGCTACGTACATTTTGACGTCGTCAGTATTGCGCCGACAGCTGATTAGTAAGATTCGTTTACCTGAGAGGAAAATTTTATTTAAGGAGATATTTCATTGATATTTTTTGGCATAATTAAAAAAATGTTAATCATGGTTTATGCGAATTTTTAACTTTATAGTTCTTGTGAAACAAAAGATTGAAAATGTTAGTATTTTTGCTGGGACAACCCTCGTAAAATTTTTATACAACTAGTTCACAGTACATGGGTTTTACTATGTAAAGAGTGAAAGATAACGAGATTAGTTTGATAAAAAAAAACCCGCTAAAACCAATTGTCAATTTTTGTTTATTTCAGATATTTTTCCTGATAACACCTGTTATTTGTCATCAAAACCGATGCATACCAACACTTCTCTGTTATACATTTTCGAATACCAAGGGAAGCAAATTCCAAATGATTGCCGGGAAGTAGCACTGCACAGCGCAGACGCAACTTTGGATTATTACAAGTTTTGTGTCACTCCCATTTCTTTCATGGACCCAAACTGCAGCATTACTGTTGAATTTAAATACAAAGAACGAGACAACGAAAACCTAATGGTAAAATCCAATGTCTTTATTATATAATTAATGTAAAATTATGAAAAGCTTTTTTGAACGTTGATATTGGAAATGAGTATTCGATATTCGATAAATACATGTACTTTTGTTAAAAGATCTGCTAACGAGTTCAATCTCCTGTTTTTCAAAGTTGTTTTCAAAAGTTACATATTTGAAAAAACTTTTTCTTGTTCAGAAATTGTAATATAATGTTGCAAAGCTTTAGTTGTTGCAAGAGAGAACTAAAGGCAAAAATACACTGAAAATGGTGATTTTACGACCAATTTTCAAATGTTATACGACTATAAAGTTTTACCTAATAATGCAGATATAATTATTATTTTACTTATTTTATTTAAGCTAATAACGAGAATTATGAAGTTGATGTTTATCCATCACCACGCGTATTTTTAAATTGAACGGGAAAACATTCATATACATTTGTGTCAGAAGATATTTATTGAGTAGGTAACTAATAATTTAACTTTAGCTCAAGTGCTATCAATAAATTATTGAAGAAATCAACTTTGCAATCCAAATTTAAAAAAACAATATTCAATAGAAAATATATCAAACACTGAATATGAATGAGTGATATGTAGGCAAATACAGGAATTTTACGTTTGCTGTTCTTCTCATTTTAAACATGTTTGCTTATAAGTTTATTAATCTTAATTTAATTTTTATGTAAAAGAGAATTAAATAAACATATTGATTTAAAACAAACAATACAATTTTTAATATGTAATAATTTTTTTCAGATTTTCAACTGCAATACAACAGAAAATGATACTTTTTGTACAAGCGAAGAAACAGAGCTAAGGATCATTATTGATCCAGTCTTGGGGTTTAAAAATGCCAATTTTATATTTTCGATTCAAAATATCGCATCTTCCAAATGTAAGTTACTTTCTTTCTTTTTCTTTAAAAAGCAAATTTCAAATATAAACTTAAATTAAAGATTTTGTTGTATTAAACACTAATTTCTTAACCTATCATTTTTAAAGTGTCATATTTCTTCCTAAAGTATATACTTTTTTTTTTCTTTTTTGCAGATTCATATCAAGGTAATAATACAATATATAAGTAATTATATATATATTTTTGACCCTTACAATTAAAAATATTATTTTTTTAAACCCCTGAAATGAATTATATTTATTCAAACAACAACAGTATAAAACTAGTGCAAGACGAACACTTGTGACGTCATTGTAAAATGTCGACTTTCTTTGACAGTGCAATCACGTCGCGCATATTGGGGTTTGAATTTGCCTAATTTGTAACACTGTAAACGACAGGCATTATTATTTTTGGTCATTTTAACGTTTTGGTTACATGGATTTTTCTGCAAATGTGTACGATGCTTCTATAATGTCCTGTGATGATGTCACACAACATTTATTGATAAATTTCCAATTTACTGGCCGATTCCGACTGTTCGTAAAATTGGAAGCGTTCGTAATATATCGTGATCTTGACAAGTAAC